AATCTGTGCATCACCATGAGGTCTTGGCCTACCAACAAGGTTTCAGCATGTCTGTCTCCGGCAGCCGCTCCATGGTTTCTCCCTGACTCCGCCTCCTTCTCCCAGAATTCAGTTTAGTTTTCCTCACCTACCTAAGTTCTAACCTATCACAGACTCAAGACAGTTTCTTTATTAACTAATGATATTCATACCATACAGAGGGGAATCTCATATCACCAGAATGTAGCAAAAGCAACTCTAAGGGGAAAGTGTACAGAGATAAAATGTCTGTGTGAGAAAAAAAAGACTCAAGAATCCAAAAATTCCTTATATCTCAAAGAAATAGAACAATATGAATTAAACCCCAAATAACCAAAAAGAAGAAAAAATTCTTAAGGTTAGATGGCTTTAATGGGGAATTCTACTGAACATTGAAGTGAGTTTTTAATTAATGGTTTATTTTATTTTTATTTATGCATATTCATGTGTCTTTGTATTTGTACTAACATATATGTAGGTTTTTGAGGAGGCCAGAGAGAGTTTTAAGTACCAGGTATTTAGGAGCAACCAATGTGAATGTTAGGAAGTGGACTGTATTCTTCTCTGAGACCAAGTACTTTTTTTTTTTTGATGTTTATTTTTGAGCTGATTTTCTTTCTTTTTTTTTTTTAACTTTTTTTTATTGAGAAAAGGAAAAAAAACAAATTTCCTCCTCCTCCCAGCCTCCCATTTCCCTCCCCCTCCTCCCACCTTCTTCCCCTCCTCCCACCCTTCTCCCCCTCCCCCCACTCCTCTCCCCCTCCCTCTCCAGCCCAAAGAGCAATCAGGGTTCCCTGCCCTGTGGTAAGTCCTAGGTCCTCCCCCCTCCGTCTATTTCTAGGAAGGTGAACATCCAAAGTGGCTAGGCTCCCACAAAGCCAGCACATTAAGTAGGATCAAAACCCCGTGCCATTGTCCTTGGGTTCTCATCAGCCCTCATTGTTCGCCATGCTCAGAGAGTCCAGTTTTATCCCATGCTTTTTCAGTCACAGTCCAGCTGGCCTTGGTGAGCTCCCAATAGATCAGCTCCACTGTCTCAGTGGGTGGGTGCTCCCCTCGTGGTCCCGACTTCTTTGCTCATCTTCTCCCTCCTTCTGCTCCTCATTGGGACCTTGGGAGCTCAGTCCAGTGCTCCAGTGTGGGTCTCTGTCTCTGTCTCCCTCCATCACCACATGAAGGTTCTATGATGATATGCAAGATATTCGTCAGTATTGCTATAGGATAGGGTCATTTCAGATTCCCTATCCTCAGCTGCCCAAGGAACTAACTGGGGACCTCGGCTTGGGCATCTGGGAGCCACTCTAGGTTCAAGTCTCTTGCCAACCCGAAGGTGGCTCCCTTAACTAAGAATTGTGCTTCCGTGCTCCCCTATCCAACCTTCCTTTATCCCAATCCTCCTTTTTCCCCAAGTTCCCCCCATTCTCCCCTTCTCCCTTTTCTCTCTCCATCTCCCCTTACCCCCATCCCACCCCACCCCCAAGATCTCAATTTTCTCCCCGGCAATTTTGTCTACTTCCCACAGCCAAGAGGACAACTATATGCTTTTCCTTTGGTTCACCTTCTTACTTAGCTTCTTTGGGATCACCAATTGTAGACTCCGTGACCCTTGTTTATGGCTAGAAACCAATTATGAGTGAGTACATCCCATGTTCATCTTTTTGGGTCTGGGTTACCTTACTCAGTATAGTATTTTCTATTTCCATCCTAAGACAAAAAGGCAACCTACTGACTGGGAGAAGATCTTCACCAACCCCGCAACAGACAAAGGTCTGATCTCCAAAATATATAGAGAACTCAGGAAACTAGACTTTAAAATGCTAATTAACCCAATTAAAAAATGGGGCACTGAACTGAACAGAGAATTCTCAGCAGAGGAAGTTCAAATGGCCAAAAGACACTTAAGGTCATGCTCAACCTCCTTAGCAATCAGGGAAATGCAAATCAAAACAACTTTGAGATATCATCTTACACTTGTCAGAATGGCTAAAATCAAAAACTCCAATGATAGCCTTTGCTGGAGAGGCTGTGGAGGAAGGGGAACCCTCATCCATTGCTGGTGGGAATGCAATCTTGTGCAACCACTTTGGAAATCAGTGTTTCGGTTTCTCAGGAAATTCTGGATCAACCTACCCCTGGACCCAGCAATACCACTCCCGGGAATATACCCAAGAGATGCCCTATCATATGACAAGAGCATTTGTTCAACTATGTTCATAGCAGTATTATTTGTAATAGCCAGAACCTGGAAACAACCTAGATGCCCTTCAATGGAAGAATGGATGAAGAAAGTGTGGAATATCTACACATTAGAGTACTATGCTGCGGTAAAAAACAATGACTTCTCAAATTTTGCATGCAAATGGATGGAAATAGAAAACACTATCCTGAGTGAGGTAACCCAGACCCAAAGAGACCAAGTACTTTTATTTGCTAACCATTTCTCTATCCTTTTACCAAACATTTAAAGGAAACTTGACATACTTCACAAATGTTGGATAGACCCTCTAACTGCCTTTTCTCTCTCTCAGAACTTGAATTAACCTTGGCTTCTTAGCCTGGTAGCCTCTCTCCTTCAAAAGAGTTGATAAAATACACTGCAACTTCACAGAGTTTAAAGAATTCAGTATCTCATGCTTTTTCAGTCACAGTCCAGGTGGCCTTGGTGAGCTCCCAATAGATCAGCTCCACTGTCTCAGTGGGTGGGTGCTCCCCTCGTGGTCCCGACTTCTTTGCTCATCTTCTCCCTCCTTCTGCTCCTCATCGGGACCTTGGGAGCTCAGTCCAGTGCTCCAGTGTGGGTCTCTGTCTCTGTCTCCATCCATCACCAGATGAAGGTTCTATGATGATATGCAAGATATTCGTCAGTATTGCTCTACTCTCTGAGCATGGCCAACAATGAGTGCTGATGAGAACCCAAGGACAATGGCACGGGGTTTTGAACCTACGTAATGTGCTGGCTTTGTGGGAGCCTAGCCAGTTTGGATGTTCACCTTCCTAGAAATGCACGGAGGGGGGAGGACCTAGGACTTACCACAGGGCAGGGAAATCTGACTGCTCTTTGGGCTGGAGAGGGAGGGGGAGAGGAGTGGGGGGAGGGGGAGAAGGGTGGGAGGAGGGGGAGGGAAATGGGAGGCTGGGAGGAGGAGGAAATTTGTTTTTTTTTCTCTTTTCTCAATTAAAAAAAAAGTTAAAAAAAAATAAGAAGAATTCAGTATCTCCCTCCCACCTGCAGCTGTGAGCAAGCCCTGCTCTCTGATAATCCTAGACCAAGGATGATTCTGAGTTACAATTTTTTTTTGTACTTTCCTGATTTCTTAGGACTCCTGTCACATATGCTGGGCAGGTACAGCTAGGTCCTATAGTATGAAATTTGCCTACCTCCTTAAAAATATGTTGGAATCAAAAACTCTCCTGTTCTTCAGATTTGAAAGGAAGTTTCTTTCTCCCTGTAAGGGTGAATAATGGCTGTAAATGGACATGATATCCATGTATATTCTGACATTACAAAAACACAGTATCTGTCTTTTTCCCTTAGGACCAAGCAATACATGCTAGCTATCCTCCCTAATGGTTTCCAATTTCAAATCCCCATCATAATTTCACATGGTGTCAGATTCTCTCCCTGCTCCCCTCCTCTCTCTTATTAATGCTCACTAGAGGGTAATTTTTGTGAGCGTCTTTCTAGGAACAGACTTCCTTTTGTAATTTTGAGCAAGTGTTTCTAAAATTTGAAGACAAAAGAACACTTTCAAACTTCTCTAATGGAAGTCATCATTATTACCCTGATAAGAAACCCGAATAAGTGTGTTACAAAATAAAAGATGGTGTAGGAGGTCCTTTTGTATTTGTGTTGCTTTCATTGGTTAATAAAGAAACTGATTTGGTCCTGGTGATAGGGCAGAAATTAGGTAGGTGGGGAGACAGAACTGAATTCTGGAAGAAAGGAAGTAGAGGGAGAACCGCCATGGAGCTGTCAGAGTCAAACATGTTGAATCTTTCCCGGTAAGCCATGACCTCGTGGTGAAATACAGATTATTAGAAATGGGTTGAATCAAGATGTGAGAGTTAGCCAATAAGAGGCTAGAACTAATGGGCCAGGCAGTGTTTAAATAAATACAGTTTCTGTGTGATTATTTTGGGTGTAAACTAGCAGGGAGGGACAAAGAAAGGGCCTACACTCCTTTCAACAAAAAGATTTTATTGACATGTATTAGTTGTACATATTAATTTAACTCAGTGTTATATTTCAATACATGTTTATAGCAGGCACAACCAAAAGCAGCCTCTTTTTTTACCACTCAGTTCCTTCTCAGCCTCTAATAGTCACTATTATACACTCTAGCAAGTGCTCTCCTCTGTCTATTCCCCTTTGAGATGGGATTATAAGAAGTGACAGAGAGGCCTAGCTTGTTATGTAGCCACTAGTATCTGAACTCAAATCTTCAAGATTGAACAAGTACTCTTAGCCTTGAGCTATCTCTCCAACCCCCAATCTAAGATACTGTAAGGATGATAATACTGATCTTAAGTGTGGTAGCGGTGGTGTAAGCCTTTAATTTCAGCACTAGGGAGGCTGAGGGAGGCCGATTTTTGTGAGTTCAAGGCTAGCCTGTTCTACAGAGCTAGTTTAAGGACAGCCAAGGCTGTTACATTGTATAACCCTGTCTTGAAAAAGAAAAAATAAAATAGAATACAAACAAAAACCCTGACTTTAAAAGACCTCAAATTAAGAACTGCAGACGAGAAAAGAAACCAGGTAATATATGAATTCCTTGGATGAGGGAGCTGATAATTGTAAATTTAAAAAAATAGAGTAGGTGGAATTGAAAGGAAGTACCCCAAAGACTGAGGAGGGAGAATTCACCTGTCTGCACTGCCCCTCCCCCACTCTCAGAAGCCCTTTGTGATGTGGAGTCCCCAGTTCTGTGAGGAAGTGGACATGGGTTATCCTTCACTCCTCAGGGAGAGCCCGATCAGTTCAGATGGAGAATCTTCCCTCTCTTCTGGAAAGCATATACGCCACATGGCTGAGCCTCAGCTCCACGATGGACACAATGGATGTGATATTTGCCATTGTGTGTGGACTGGGGTTCTACCTTCTGTTACTTCCCTTCATTGATAGTCATCTGTCTCTACCGCTACCCAATATAAAGTTCACCAGGAAGGTAAGAAACTCTCAATCTGTCTAACAGAGAATACCTCTCTCTCTCTCTCTCTCTCTCTCTCTCTCTCTCCCTCCCTCCCTCCCTCCCCTCTCCTTCCCTCCCTGTCTCCCTCTCTCTCCCTCTTTCTCTTCCTTCCCCCACTCCATCCTTCTCTTCTCTGCATCTCTTTCTTGATTTTTAAATTAGCATAAAAAGTACTGGGTTTAATGATGGGATCTTCAAACAAACTTCATTTTTTGTTGATTTCTGTCTTCCATCCCCTTCTCCTCTCTCATCTCCCTCCCTACTTGTGCTCCTCCACTACCCACAAGCCCCTTTTTGGCTTTCATGTGACATGGATCCTTTTACCGGTCTCTTCTGCCCCAACGCCACATTTTACTACAAATTTCCACATGTCCAAATCAAGTAGAGAAATGGCTGGTGAGACATCTCCAGAAGGAGCAGAAATCTATTCTCCTGGGAACTGGTGGAGCAGAGTTGAGAACAGTCACCAGGGCATTTATCTGGAGCTCACAGTATGTCTGTGAGGTATGCTGGTGTGCCAGGGTGAACTTGAATGTCATGGTTTCATGGATAGGACCGGCATTCTTCATATATATTGGGGGCCTCTGTATCAGGGATAAGACAAGCATTGATCACCGGTTCATATGTTCTCTTCTCCTGTACAATCCTTTCCTCTGTGATGCTTTGTCTGAGGACTGTGCTGAGCCTCAAAAGGTATTAGACCAGAGGCCAGAGTGACTTCTGGCTTCAAGCAGCAGAATTCAACCTGGCAACTATGAAGCAACTACAGAGATTTGACTCTTGAGCAGAACAGTTACTGTAGACATCCAAGGTTGGCCTCACAGTGCAAATGCCTGTGCATCAATCAGGAGACTAAAGAAGAATGGAAGATGTTCTGTTCTATAACCCTCTCCTTAATTTTGTTACACAGAGACCTTGCAAACCCACTTCCATGGTAGGCAGTGACGGGAAAGGGTCTCTGGAAGTTGGTGTCTCGTAGCCTAACTCCAGGTTCAGATTCACAACTATGTCTGTCTCCCATAACACTGGGGTTACAAGCACATGTGCAACTATGAGGCTTTTTACATGAGTGATGGGGACCTGAACTTAGGTTCTCATGCAGCAATGTTCTTACCCACTAGGCCATCTCCACATCTCCCTTCTTATATTTCTTAAAGAAAACTGGTTGACAAAAGTGTTCAGTAGGTAAGTGCTTGTTTTGCAAGCATGAAGACCTGGGTTTATATACTCAACACCCAATATTAGAAAGCTGGGCATAGTGATGTGTGCCTATAGTCTTGGTGCTAAGGAAACAAAGACAGCAGGATCCATGAAGTTTCCTGGACAACCAGTCTAACTGCATCAGTAAGTTCCAGGTTTAGTAAAGGACTCTATCATTAAAAAATAAAGTGACAGAAAGAGTACTGACAGGAATCCCTGGTCTCCCATATTCATACACACTTGAATACATATGGGAGAGAGAAGAGAGAGAGAGAGAGAGAGAGAGAGAGATATTTTTCACTCACTTCTTTAAACCCAGTACTTGGAAGACAGAGGTAAGTAGATCTCTGTGAGTTCAAGACTAACCTGATTTATATAGTTAATTCCAGGCCAGCCAGGGCTGGAGAGATGTCTTAGCATTTGAGAACACTTGCTGTTCTTCCAGAGAAACCAAGTTTGCTTCCCAGACAGAACACATAGTTCACAACCACCTATACTCTAGTTCTAAGAGATCCAATATACTAATACACTATTCTGGTCTATGCTAGTGGCTAGGCATACAGCACAATACACACACACACACATCCCATACAACCACACACACATACCACACCACACAACCACATACACACACACACCACACACAGAAATGGCATTAATTCCGTATCAAATTAAAAAATTCATGAGTATCTGCAGCTTCTCTAGAGGATAATGAGAACATTTATCATCTATCTATATCTATCTATCTATCTATCTATCTATCTATCTATCTATCTATCCCTGCCAATCATCTCTTTCTCTCTCAGCCTCAAAGGCAGATGACTTGGCAGAGTCGGTACAGGAAAAAGTTTGGGACTCATTCTAGGAAAGATCTCAAAGGTAAGTCAGTCTTTGCCATTAGTTTGCCTGTGAGGAGCTAGCACCATGTTTCCCAGGTGAGTTGCAGAGGCCTAAGAGGGAGGTTCCTGGGAAGGAAACAAGAATACCATACTCAGGCTCTTGTGTTAGAAGAAAGCTGTGATGAGCCAGCTAACAGGTGTTCCTAACAGGGAGGGCTCTGGACTATTTGGAGCAATGTTACCAGGATTTGGAGGTGGGACCTGGAGTAAAGCTGATTCTTTTCTGAGGTGACCCCATCCTTTCTCCCAGAGGTCAGTTAGAAGGATCATGGGGGGAGGGTGACAGCTATAGGATCTGCTTATGAATGATTAAATGCTGTCCATCCATCTATCTTGAGAACGCCATTGATCATGGATTACATGACTTTGGATGTTAATGAGCAGGCTCTATAGTCTAATCTCATAATCTTTTCTAATTCTACACCCACACATTTAGCTTACTATAAAAACCTTATGCCTTACCTTACACCATTATAACCCAGTCTCCTGATTTCCAGCTTGGAGAGAAAGCCTGGAAAAGCTGAAAGAAAAAGAAAAAGATGAATCATTTCTAGAAGAAATTAGCCCAGGATACCATTTGAATTATTTAGGGAACATGTTTAAGTCACCAAGTACTAAGCAAGACAGAACTATCCTGCCACCCTTTTGGAACCTGAAAGAAAAATCAGAACAGCAAATGACCACTCAGAAACTATCATATCCCACCATCTTGGGGGACAATTTTCAAGAGAAATACAACCAGCTCTTTTGGGGTCTCCCTTCTCTGCACAGTGAATCTCTAATGGCCACTGCCTGGATCCCTCAGGCTTCTTCTACTCTCCCTTCTCCCTTTTTCTTATTCAATGTCATCTCAAGAGCTTATCCAGTTCAAATGCGGGAGAAGATGTCTCCAGGGCATTCCTGTACACGTCCTCTGTCCTACCTGGACCTCCAATCTCCACCCTTAATTCTGTCTCCACCCCAATTCCAGGCCCCAGCTCCGAATCAAGTCCATCCTCAGTCCCCTCTCCCAGCCCAACTACCCTCTTCTCTACCCTACACAAGTGATTATGGAGATTATGGACCATCTTGTTCTCAGTCACAAAGTCAGTCACAGTGTCTCCCTACTGAAATACATCACACAGAAGGGCACTCGCTAACAAAACTAGAAAGTAGGCTGCCTTTACCCTTGATGGTCCAGAGACCTCAAGAAGTCTATGATGTCTTGGCCCCCAACGTTTCCCAAGACTGGGTAGTCTCTATCCTCCCTGACAATTTTCCTATCAGCTGTGAGCTCCGAGAGAAACTGGAGCAACACATTCAAAAGTGGCTCATTCAACACCGATGGGACCTTCCTCGTAAGATCCAAGAGTCTCTGGAAGTGATGCAGCTTCAGAACACAGTAACAGGACCTTGTCAAATCAGAGACAAACCAGGCCCCTTACGATCCTCTGTGTCTATGGGCAACCATAGCAAGGATGACCACAAGGTGAGATTCCAAATAAAAAAGGAATCTGGAAAAAATTTGGGACCAATTCTTGGAAACATCTCAAAAGATCCAAACAGGTGCTTGGAAAAAGCTCCAGTAACATTACAAGGGGCAAATCTTTTAAAGTCAGAAAGAAATCCAGTGAAGAACTTGAAGAGAGACTCCAAAACTGACTCAACGGAACAATTTAATTTAAACAAATTAAAAAGCATCCTGAAAGCTCATGTGGGCACAAAGTCAGAGCAAATCAATCAAGGTCTGATCCCTCTGAGTGTGCGTCGATCCTGGCTTGCTATGAAAGATGGTCTTTTCATGTCTGATATCCAAATGGAAACTAAGAAATTAGCATCCTCTAAGACATCAGAAAAATCCATGAACTCTTCACAGAAGCTTGCCTTTCTTGATCCAGGCACTCACCAGGCCCTGGAGGAACATATTGTAAGGTTTTGGGTGAAGCACAGGTGGGGTCTACCCCTCAAGATGCTCAAACCCATAAATCTTCTTAAGTTTAAAAACGTTGAGTCCTTGCCTGTTGCACTGTGTGACTTGCCCTCCTCAACCACCTCTGTATCTGGGACCAGTTCAGCAGTTGAGATAGTCGGGTTCCTAGGAAAACCATGCCAGACATGTTTGAGAGAGGTGGTAATTGAGGATTCTTCTCCATCACTAGGGAGTCTTCTCCTTGTTGCCTCTCCTTCCTGTAAGGGCATCAAGAGAACCCTGAGAGCATTTCCATCTGGTGCTGACCATGAGCCTTCACAGGTCCTGCCAAACAAATCAGAGAGCAAGCATCATTCTGAAACTCTCAAACATAAAGTCATGGATACACCATCTCAGAGTGGGACTGTCTTAGAGAAAGAGAGAGAGACCCAAGGAGTCCTTTTACTGCCTAGAAGAATCAGTGTCCAAAACCCAGGGGCACACAGTCACCAGGCAAAAACAGTTAGCAAGTTTCCACAAAGTGTGGAGACAGAATCAGCCAGCCAGCCACAGGTCTATACCAGTGCTGTGCTCCTTCCTGAATATCCCAGGAGCGCACTGCTTCCTGCAGACACTTTGGCTTCCCTTGGGTTAGGTGACATTGTGATGGTAGGAGGGGACAATAGCCTGGTGCAGCAGAAGCCCAGTACTCCAAACCATCAAGTCTCACCGAAGAGCCGAATCAAAGTGTTGACATCTACTTACCAAGGTGAGGAAGCTAAAAGACCAAGTAAAGGAGATCATGAAGGGCCCAAGCTCACCAGAGTCAAGGAGAAGGAAGATAAATTGATAAGAAAGCATCAGCCCCTTCCAAAACCTACACAGGTTCCTCCAGAAAGCCCCTTCCAAAAATTTGTGAGCCGCTTTCTTCAGTGGATTCACCCCAAGAAAGCAATAAAAGGGCAGGAATCTCCTAAGAAAGGTAAGCCTACAGCAGCTACTGCCCAGAGTCCACGAAACCAAGTAAAGAAACCACGCGTGGACAGCAATGTTGCTGAGGCCCAGGAACTTACAACAGCCATTGGACAGATGCTAGAAAAAAAAATGATACAGCAACGTAAACAATGTGCTTCCAAGTTAAAACAGCACTGGGAAACGCTTCCACCCCCTGCCTCTCAGTCTTCCTATGGCCATAAGCCAGTCTCTGGCTCAGAGCAAAGAAGAGCACCCAGCCACCTAGCCAATTCCTTCTACCAAAGGTATTCTACAAAGGAGAGGCACATCAAAAGCCAACCATCTCAGAAAAATGTACCATTTAGAAATGAACCACAGACCCTTCAGAATCCCAGCCCCTTGCCGCGTAACACAACTTTGAACCTAGAAAGTTCCTCTCAGAATGGAACAATAATGCCAAATGTTTCAAGTTACCATCTCTGCTGTCCTAGGCACTGTGCTGTACGGAGAAGTATCTATAGCCAACTAGAAAATTCCTCTCTAGTTTTCACTAGTAGAAAAGCATAATCAAAAGAAAAAAAACTTGGTCCATGTAAAAATTATTTATCTCGTATTAATACATTCAAGATATTTAATGTAGCCCAAAACACATATTTTCCTCTTAATAAAGAGTGATGGTTTCTCTCTGTTCCATGTTTTTTTTTCTTTTTATTTTTTTTAATTTATTTATTTATTAAGGATTTCTGCCTCGTCCCCACAACCGCTTCCCATTTCCCTCCCCCTCCCCCGATCAAGTCCCCCCCCCTCATCTGCTCGAAGAGCAATCAGGGTTCCCTGACCTGTGGGAAGCCCAAGGACTGCCCACCTCTATCCAGGTCTCGTAAGGTGAGCATTCAAACTGCCTAGGCTCCCACAAAGCCAGTACGTGCAGTAGGATCAAAAACCCACTGCAATTGTTCTTGAATTCTCAGTATTCCTCATTGTCCGCTATGTTCAGCTAGTCCGGATTTATCCCATGCTTTTTCAGACCTAGGCCAGCTGGCCTTGGTGAGATCCCAATAGAACATCCCCATTGTCTTAGTGTGTGGGTGCACCCCTCGTGGTCCTGAGTTCCTTGCTCGTGCTCCGTCTCCTTCTGCTCCTGATTTGGACCTTGAGATTTCTGTCCGGTGCTCCCGTGTGGGTCTCTGTCTCTGTCTCCTTTCATCGCCTGATGAAGGTTAATATTCCTGAGGATGCCTATGTGTCTGTTCCATGTTTTATATGGGCTTTGGTTTCTACCAGAGATAAATGAGGATGGGTGATTGGCAGAGATAGTGAAAACCCACTTCCACAAAAACTCTTGACATCAAAACAGTTTCCAGTGTCCAGGGAGATGGTTCTCTTGGTAAAATGCTTGATGCAAAAGAATAAAGACCTGAGTTTTGATCTTTAGCATACATGTAAAAACCAAGCACAATGCTATTTTTAATCCCAATGTTGGGGAGAGGAAGACAAGAGGAAGCCTTTTCTCCTGGGGAAAGGTAGAAACAGTACAGCCTTAAGAAAAATTCAGTCATATGCTAGCCACCTCTTTACATTCCTCATGCTCTACAACAGCAGAGGAAAGCACCTTCCAGGTCAGGGTAATGGTATCATTCAGGGATGCCATTGAAGGTCATGTCTACTCCAGAGGAATGACTCCTACAGTTCACTTACCTTAATCTGTCTCACAGCTAACTCCAGTCCAGGGAAGCATTCTGGATTAATGAAGAGGGATATGATTGAGAGTTGGGGATTGTAGACTCAGGGTTGTATAAAAAGAAATTAAAACCTTGGAATCAAAGACAGAAACATGAAGGTGCTATAAACATGTTATCAGTGAGGAACCCTTACTGTTCCCCTGCCATCTGGAAACCAAGAGGGGGAGGATGTTAGGGGCCAAGTGAATCATCTTGTTCACACTTGTATCCCATCTATGATCCTTGGTCTCAGACCTAGAGAACCCAACAAACAAACAGCCCAACACAGACTGGATTGGAATTTAAAAAAAAATTAGGAAAGATAAATTTTTTAATGTTGAATATAATCAAATCTCTAATCCTGGAAAGGATGATTTCACAATAGATCTCAAGACGAAGGATCTTGAGATCTTGCCTGTTGTGTGTGTACTACTACCAGTACAGAAATGGAAAATTTAGAAAGGGTGGAGGGGATGATTTGGAATCACATGCAAATTTTCCTCAGCTCTTTGTCCTTGTTTAGTTCAGAGACCAATAGGAAAGACACAATCAGAAAGGGTGTGCATTGCCAGTACCTCGTCAAAATGTACCCCCTCCCCTGTGTCGAAGGGTATAGGAGAGGTCTATGCACTACTCTCTGCTTCTAGCATTCCTTCATACTGGGATCTGTTCATACAGAAAATTAGAAGGAGGAGGAACTATTTATGTGGAGAACATGTTCCAAGCTGTGCTACACACAGAACACAGAATAGTCACAGCTTAGAGACCTCATAACCCATGGAGGAGAACCTTGTACCAGACTGATCCTGATGCCAACAGAAATGAGCTCTGACCACCACAAATGGGATAGTAATCACAGTAATGTAGGGATAGTAATCACAGGCCTCTGGAGTCTAGGTGCTGATGCAACTAGCCTTCTCTTAAAGATGGACAACTAAGTTAGCCTCCAGAGTGGGACCAACAGTGAATGGAGCTGGGGCTGACAGAAGGGCCTCAAACTGGAAGTATAGTTGTTATCCAGACTACAAAAACTAAGAAGAGGGTAATATAGACTGGACCTTGACCTCAGAAGAGGTCATATCTGACTGGTCCTGGCTTCTCTCAGGACACCAAGAGGTGAGTTTTCTGAAGTGTGGAGGAGCTGGACCAAGGTCCCATGGTTCTTATCAGGAAAAGGGCAATACATTAGCTACACTGTTGAACCAGACAGAGACGTTGATTCTCCATCCTCCATAGGATTCAGGAAGGTCATCAAAGAGATCTACAGAAGCCTCCCAGAGAGACCAGACAGCATGCACACCTCTCAGTGCCTCACATTGCTTTGTAATTTGAAAGTTCTCACAGTGACTTTCCATGGGAACCTCACATAGCTGAGTCCTCATGTCAACCTATACATGCCCCCATGGAGATTTCTATGAAAGCTCTTATACACAAATCTCAAAGACTCCCTTTAGAGGCCTCTACAAAGACCACACACAGACCTTTCAGTCACACAGAGGCCTCAATTTCATAGTTGCACCTCTTCTCACACAGACAAATTCCCAGACCCCACACTTAAACTTCCATATAAACCTTATATAGAGACCTGTCTCAGCCAGCAAATAGGGACCCACAGATACTGCTCACATAAACCTTATCTAGAGACCTGTCTCAGCCAGCAAATAGGGACCCACAGATACTGCTCACATAAACCTTATCTAGAGACCTGTCTCAGCCAGCAAATAGGGACCCACAGATACTGCTCACAAAACACCTAAAGCAACACAACGACCACCCCACAAGACCCAGTGTTCTCCCAAAGACACCCCTAGTCAGCATGCAGAGATTCCAAATCCCAAATTCCCCCAGAAAACCCCAAAGACTACCTCACAGATACAGTCAGAAAAGAGAGACTCCCCAAGTCTCAAAAATCTCTCACAGGGACTACCCTCCCTCATGCTCTACAGATATTTCTTAGATTCCAATCACCACCCTGAGAAAACCAGGTGATGTTTCCCATCTCTCACAAGTCTAATTCAGAGAGCGCATTAGAGACTGCCATAGAGACTTCCCATGGAGCTGTTCACAAGAACTTCTTTCTGATACTGTACAGAGAGAGAGCACCTTATAAACTTCCCACACAACACAGATCTCCCATTGCCTGGGATGTGTCAAAGAACTCACAGAGCAACCTTCACAGAAGTTTAACTAAAACCTCTTATGGAGACTCCACAGAAACCTCATCCAGAGAACTGGGGTGCTGAGGGAATGAAGAAAGGACCAACAGACAAAGGTATAGTAAAGCTGGGATTAGGTGGAATCTGCTATCACCTCAACTAGGAACCTCAGTGTGTTCATTATGTACAGCACAAACAAAGGGGCTACCTAGTCTTAATAGAAGGGCTCTGTAGGTGAGGTGTAGCTCAGGCTGTAAACTTCTGGAAAAGGAAGCTGTGGTTGCTAGTTTTGTGCACAATTATCAATTGTTTATAAACACTAATACTTAGACTGCTGAGCAAAATATTGCCATTCTTCTAGAGCCTGGCCAATATAGGTAATGGCTTTGGCAACTTCTCATGGGTCCTAGGGCCACTGAGTCCTCAACATGGCTGGGTGCATGTCAACAACACATATTCACTTGTTGTAGGAGGCTGCTTGCTCCCGGCTACTCAGCCCCGAAATAACCACACAAAACTGCATTAATTAAATCACTGCTTGACCTATTAGCTCTAACTTCTTTTTTTTTTTTTTTTTTTCCAAGCAGCTTTGTCTTTCTTTATTCCTTTCCTTTCCCACTGAGCCAGGAATCTGGTTGCTGGCTGTGGGTATTTCCTTCCTGCAAACTCTGACAGTGTACAGTCTTTACCATCTTTCCTTTATGTAGTCACTGCTCTGCAGCAAGCTCCTTGAGGACAGGGATGTCCCTTTCCCATATTTCCTAAGCTCCTTATAAACCCATCATAGATGAGCAATAAACGTGGATTTATTTCAATATTTACAGTGATAACCCCAACTTTTGAATATGTGCCAGCTTTCCAAGGTGAAGATTCTCTCAGGCCCTTTGCCTGCAATTGAGATCCTGGCCATTAGATGGCGGTAGGATACTGGGAAATGCTGTTGGAATTATTGCCATCCTCATCAGTCACAAGGGTCTGATGGCATATCATTTACTTGACCTGTGAAAGCTCTCTGCCTTTCCGAGAGCAGTCTGTGAACCGTGGGGTCTGAGAAGGTAAGATTGGTGGGAAAGAGCGAGCATACCAGCCAGTGTCTGCTGATAGCCTTTCCTTCATTGTGGTGTCTTCAGAGTTTGAAGTTGCAGCCCCTCAGCATCTTCTTCCTTGGGACATCATCACCAAGAAGAATGGTAGAACCTGCTACTCACAAATGAGAGCTGTGCCTTTGAAGTGGTCCCTAGTGAAAAAAGGTAAGATTAGTAAAAAAATAAAATAAAATTATAAATTAACAAAGAATACTAGGATGTGATGCCATCCTATGGCAGATGACCTGGGGTGTTCTATGCACTATGGCCAGGTTCTCATAATACCATTTACTGCTATATAACAAATCATTCTAAGATTTAGCAACTGAAAACTGCACTCATTTTATATCTCATGACTTGCGGGTCATGATCAGCTTGGCTGATCTTTTGACACACACTCACCATTCATATTGCTTAGTTGTATTCAGTTGATGGGTAGGCTGGTCCAGCCCTTGTGGCTTGACACTATTAGTTGAGCTTTGGCAGAGATGGCTGGAGGACCGTGCTCAGCATGGCAGAATCGAGAACTCAGACTTACCACACGGGACTTCGAGGGTTTCCTGAAAGGCTGTTCCAAGAGCTCCAGAAAGAAGCAGCCAGTCTTC